CCTTCCTTCCTTCCTTCCTTCCTTCCTTCCTTCCTTCCTTCCTTCCTTCCTTCCCTCCTTTCCCAGCATTACAGTAAATCAGGCTTAATACTTAGTGATTACATAGGTAGATGTTCTATTCTGGGGTTTCAGATCTTCTAGTGGTGCTCCATGGCTGTTTTAATTGTCTTTATCTACCTTACTGTTGCTCAACCTTCCCCCCTCCCTCTTCTTTCTTCCTGTCCCCTCCCAGTATGGAGGATTTTTCAAAAGAGCTGGGTCTTCGGTGCATAGCCATCTATGCTTCATTGTTTTTCTGGCACATTGCAGAGGGCTGCAGATGTGGCCCCTTTGAATTCTGTGGTTCTGTGGTAATGCCCACACTTTTGCTGGTTGTACAAAGGCCATTTGGATTCCAGATTCGCTGATACATTTTTTTTTCCAGGTAGTTGGTGAAGATCAGTGGTGGGATTCAATTTTTTTAAATACCAGTTCTGTGGGTGTGGCTTGGTGGGCGTGGCAGGGGAAGGATACTTTAAAATCCCCATTTCCTCCCCACTCCAGGGGACAGATACTGCAAAATCCCTATTTCCTCCGGATCAGCTGGGACTTGGGAGGCAGAGGATAGATGGGGGCCTGGCCAATCAGAGGTGGAATTTACCTGTTCTCCAAACTACTCAAAATTTCCGCTACCGGTTCTCCAGAACTGGTGAGAACCTGCTGAATCCCACCTCTGTTATTCCATCATCTGTATCCCATACAGCTAGTCCTCAACTTACAACAGTTAATTTAATGACCATTCAAAGTTACAGCGGCACTGAAAAAGTGGCTTTGGCTGTTTTTCCAAATTTAATGCAACATCCCCATGGTCATGTGATCAAAATCCAGGCGCTTGGCCACTGATTCATATCTATGATGGTTGCAGTTTCCCAGGGTCATGTGATCCCTTTTGCGACTTTCTTACAAGCAAGTCAGTAGGGAAGCCAGGTTCACTTAACGACCGTGTGACTGCTGCAGTGATTCACTTGAGTAACCGCGGCAAGAAAAGTCCTAAAAATGGGGCGAAACTCACTTAACAAATGTTTTTGCTTATGACAGCAATTTTGGGCTCAATGGTGGTCGTAAGTCGGAGACTACCTGTATCGTGCTGCAGTATTTCGTTAGTTCATTCATTCGTTTCGTTACAGCTGTTTCCATCAGCTGAGCCAACTGGACCTTTGCTCAACCTCCAAGACCAGCCTGCTGCTCAACTACCTCAGCCTGCAGGTCAGGTTCCTGCGCAACCTCCTGTTGCTGCCCCCGGTCCAGCCTCTCAGACCCCAGCCGCAGCTCCTTCGGCAGCACAGGTAAGGCCCAATGGGGAAGCTTAAAAGACAAAGGTAAAGTTTCCCCCACTGTCCAATCTGAATCTCTGCAGACTTTAAGGGTTCCACCACAAAACCGCGTTCGACTAAAGCGCGCTCGACGAAATCGCGTGGCTAACATCATCACAGGGCGACAACAGCGCGGAGACAGAAGCACGCTGTAAACACTAAACCTAAAATTAACACCTAAACCTAAACCTA